TCCCAGGGAGATGCTGATGCAAGGGTGGACCAGACTGCTATAGTGACAGGGCGGGCAAACAGGGAGCAGGGACCAATCAAATCAAGCTTTGTATACAGTCAACAGCCAACCACAATACTGCACCATTGTACAGTACAGCATAGAAAATGTCGACCAGTCAAACCCCTATCATCCCTATCATGGCACCAGCCAAAAGAAAGAAGTATGATGCAAATTTTAAACTGAAAGTTATAAACTTTGCTAAGGAAAATAATAATTGTGCTGCTGCAAGACAATATGGAGTAACAGAAAAGATGGTTCGGGACTGGAAATCAAATGAGAAAGCATTAAAGAGTATGCCAAGGGGTAAGTGTGCATTAAGAAGAGGCACCCCACACTGGCCAGAACTCGAAAAACATGTAGCAGACATGGTGGCTCAACATCGCCAAAACGGTTATGTGGTGACACGAAATACAATATGCTTGTTTGCACTTCAGTGGGCCAAATCTAATCTGATATTGTTTTACCTGTTATGTGGTGTGTGGAAGGTGTGCGGAAGAGGGGGTAGTCTTATACGGCGAGTATATAACAAACTCTGTATTTTGAGTGGAAATGTTAGGGGGTCGTCTTATACGCCCAGTCGTCTTATACGCCAGCAAATACGGTACGTGGTGTTTTTCTGACGGTGCAGCAGCACAAGTCACCTCTTTGCTGTGACGTCAGAAGACCCAGCCCTGTTCCCTGAGGTGGTTTGTCCTCCAGGGAGAGGACTGGGCCTCCAGCCAGAAGTGAGTTCCCCGCTGGGGCTCACTCGGCCCTGGGAGGCGCTGCTCAGGGTTTCCAGGGCAGACGACAGGATGTGGCAGGTGGACTAAGCAAGCTCGTGAGGAGGCCTGTGTGTGGCGTCTGGCCCCTGAGGTCATTCTGTCCGCCGTCCTGCCTCTGGGTGGGTCGTGACGAAGCCGACCGTGGGCTGTCGGAGCGTCCGCATGAAAACACACCTCCCCACCCCTTCCTAGACCACGCCATGGTTAATTTGGGGAGCCTGTCTGTCTTTGTTTACCCACCCTGACCCAACCCCATACGAACTGGCTGTGCTACTCATGCTGAAGTGCAGGTTAGAGGCGAGATGCTCTGGCACAACGTTCGTGATATTCTGACTAGGATGGTGACCAAAGGTGTGAGTGGGAAATTTGGGTCAAACAGACAAGGGAGATGAGTGCTGAGCTCGCGTCCTGTTGGACTTCATAGCAAATGGCATTTCTTCAGGGGTCTTTACGGTCCAGGCACTGTCTGCAGTGATAGTCCTAGAATAACTCACTTAATTCATATAGCAACACTGGAAGAGGAGGTATTATTATGGTCCCCGTTTTGCAGATGAGGAAACAGGCCAAGGACATTCAGGAACTTGCTCAGAACCACACCTGGGAAGCAGCCGGATCTGCACTCGGGGGTGGGGTGGGGGCTCCGACGCGGGACCGGTGTTTTTATAATAACCACCACAGCCCACTGTGCCGTGCCTGGACCTCAGCGCTTGAGTCCAGGGACACCCCAGTGCCTGACCATGAATGACGTCCCCACTTTCCTCACCCCCGTTGCTGAGAGGCCAGCTTTGCCTCCCTATTTTAAAGCTGCTAAACAAGGTACAAGGCAAGACAAATGATTTGCCCCAATTCACTCAGCCCACGAGGGAATCGTGAGACCCAGCTCCCAAACTTTTCTTTTCCATTTTATTTCTCCTCCTTTCTTCCTTCACATGTTGAAAGAGCACACCCAACCTCTCTGCTGCAGTAACCGCACGCTCTGACTGACTGACCTTTTGAAACGGGCTGCCCGCTCGCCGCGCAGACGCGGCCCCTTTAACGCGCCGCCGCGGGGAGCTGTCCTATCAGCACCACCGCCTCTGGCCCGCCCACCCCGCGCGGCGGGCGCCTCAAGGGCACAGAGGGCGGCGGAGCCCCGGGGGACCCCAGCCTGGGCGTCCTCCCAGTATAGGGCCCGCCTTCCGTGCCCTCGCCCCGCCCGGGCCCCGCGTTACTGAGGGAGCTGGCGCTTAAGCTCTCACCACCTTCTGAGCTGGAGCGAAATATTTATGGTCCCCGAATGCTTCCTGGCTCTGGGTTTGCAGAGCCCTGAGCCAGTGGCTTCCACTTGTCCTGACGGGGCCTGAGCCAGATGACTCACTGGTGACAGGCTGGGAGGTGAGGCCTGGGCGCAGGCTGTAGGCCGGAGCCACACTGTCTGGGTCCAAGCCCGGCTCTGCCACTGGCCAGCTGTGTGATCCTGAGCGGGTTCCTTAGCCTCTCTGTGCGTCGGTGTCCTTGCCTGCGACGTGGGAATGACAAGAACAGCACCGCCTCGTACGGCCATTGCACGTGCAGAAAGGCCGAGCGCTCAGAACAGGGCCTGGTGCCTCTGCAAAGGCAGCTCAGCGGAAGAAAGCCCCAGATGTGAATGAGTGGGCCGTCAGGGTGGGACAGGGGAGTGCGGAGGCTGCAGGGGGTCAGTGCGCTCAGGCCCTCCTCGTGGGTGGTCGGCTGGTTAGCTCAGCTGGTCAGGGCATGGCCCAGCTGTGTGCTGACGGCCAAGGTCAGCAGCAGCTCAGGACCCACAGGAGCCTCTGAGCAGGTCCACGCTCGGCGTTGTCAGAGATGCATGAACCTGGCCGTCCGTGGGGTGGCCGGAGGGAAGGGGGATGACCAGGTAAACCTCCTCTCACCTCCACTGGGGAAGGACTCCGACAGCGCGTCCTGAGGCCAGGCTGAAGCACGGTGTCCGCCTCTCGCCTTAAGGCCCCCCCAGTTCTCCACCTGACTGTCGTACCTAGATTTTATCGGACCCTCATGTTACAGACGGGGCATGGAGGGTCAAGTAATTTACTCAAATTCTCACAGCTGGCGTGCTGGGGCTGGGGACGGGGCAGGGTGCCCTGCGTGGGCGGCTGTGGGCAGGCCGAGGGCGATTCAGCCTGTGGCCTGGAGGGTGAGACGGATGCGGAGGAAGCAGGAATCAGGCCGGCCTCGGACATGGCCCCGAGGTCTGCTTGGCGGGCGGCCCCTGGAGGGGCGGAGGCAAGCTGGTGAGGTTCCCTCAACACATGGCTCTGCCGACCTCTCTGCTGGAGGAGGTGGTATCAAGTCATTCAAGTACAAATCAGAGGAAAGGAGGAGGGGTCATCGCGCCCCTCTTTCTTGTTGAAATTATTCCTGTAAGCCCCGACGCCCACAGTCATCTCAGGCTGTGGTTCTGTAAATCCATCAGTCTCGAGGGCCCCGTTGACTTCTTCCAGTTTAGCTTGTAAGCGGCCTGGAACCACAGAGGCAAGGTCAGGGAAAGGTCGGCAACAGCCGTCAACCACCTCGTGTGTTGCTGGCAGCTTTCTCCACGGTGTGAAAGGGGGGGCACTGCCGTGGTCTCAGGTGGGCCGGCCATGCTCTAGTGGTCTTCTGTCTGTCCAGATGTTCTTCGTCTCTGTTCCCACCCAACGCCAGCTTACCCTTCAGGAGTCAGCTGGAATGTTTTCTTCGTCCATGAAAGCTCGCCGCCACCCTTCCCCTCGGGCACACTTCTACAGCTGGTGCTGTTCCCACAGTGGTGTGTGACGGCCCTGCAGCCTGGATGTTACAATTTTCTAAAAGATGGTAAATTTGATGTCAACAAACGATAACACTTAATTTGCATCACCTCGATTTTAATAAAGTCTTCCGTTTTTGTTTTATACTTTATCTAATTGCATTTATCATTTTGTGAATTTCTTGGTCAAGTCTTTTGGTCTTTCTTCTGTGGGGTGTCTGCTTTTTTTATTGATGTGGCCGAGCTCCCTCTACTTGAAGGTGTTGACGCCTCTTCTCTCACGTAGGTTGCATGTATTTTTATAGTTTGTTGATGCTTGTACCTTTTGAAGGGGCTGTTTTGTCTACACGGAGATTTTTAATGTTTATGCACCCAGAGCTATCTGTGTTTTTCTTCATGACGTCTGCCTTGTAAAAGCCCTTTCCCATAACAAAATTATGGGAACGTTCGTGCATGTGTCCTGCAACTTCTTTTATGGTTGCATTTTCTACGTTTAACTCTTTCATCTGTCTGGAATCGATGGCTTGCTCACGTCTTTGTAAACTGCTTCAAATCCCCTTTGAGATGAACGCGATTAACAGATCAATTTGTTCGTTAATTACCGTGGTGGGAGAGGAAGGTGGACGAGGAGGGGCTGAGGGTACAGGAGAGAGATGCAGTCGTTGACAGGTCGGGGTCTGGAAGGGAAGGGACGGACGGGGTGCCCGGGACCGGGGTGCTGGGGGGGGGTCTGCCTGTGTGTAAAGGTGGGACACACAGTCTCTGAGACTAGAGGAGTGGGTGGCAGAGGCCAGCTTTCCAGGTCAGGAAGTGGGTCGGGAATGGGCGAGAAAGGACGACTGTGAGCCGGGTGCCCAGTGTCCAGCGACTGAGGGGTGGGGACAGTGGGGGAACCAGCAGAGATGGCGTCAGTGAGGAAGGCCAGAGAATGAGCCAGGTGGCAGGAGCGGTGGCCGGGGGTGGATATTTATGTTTACGATTTGGGGGATTGTGATTGGCTGCCCCACCTTTGGAGCCAGTAGGGTCTGGAAGATGACACTCCCCTGGGGGACAGCCGGGTGCCGCCAGGTGACGTGGCAAGTGGAAGGGTGGTGCAGAGAGAAGGCTGGGGCACAAGGCAGTTGGCTTCCCACGAACATTCTGGGGCCAGGAGAGACCTGAGAGGGGGGGGGTCTGTCCGGATCAATGGACAGGAGCGGAGTCGAGGGGAGCGAGTGAACCCCGTTTGTCCAGCACGTGAAACCCACAAAGCACTTTCCCCCTGTGTGCACATGGCCCTTACAGCACCTTTCCAAGCAGAGGAAAGGGATTTGCCTCGAGTCAGGCAGGGAGGCCAGGAGCCCCGGTGCCCCCTGGTGCTGGGCCTCCCTGCCCCAGAGTCATTGCTGTGCAGCAGGGGACTGAAGCCGGGACGGCGCCTAACGGTCTCCTCTCCCCTCTCTCTCCAGGACGGTAGTCCGTGTGGCCGGCCTTGCTGACCATGAATGGGACGGCCAATGTGAGCTCTGCCAGCCGCCCCCATCACGCCTCCGCCATCCCTGTGCCTCGAGCTGCCTCCCAGACCTGGATTCACGCCGCGGGCGCCTCTCCACAGCTGCGGCCGCGCCAGGCTGGCCTGGCCCTGAGCCCACAGCGAGCGGCCTCCCCGAGACTGGGCAAGGCCGCAGGCCCCTCCAGAGGCTCCTCTCCTAAGGCCTCCCGGGGGAGAGGCTCCCCCAGGGCTTCCGGGGCAGTGAGAGAGTCGGCCGAGGGTGCTGACAGCCTCCCCAGCTCCCCATGGAGCAGCCCCAGGGCAACCCCCAAAGCAGCCATGTCCGGCTGGGCTGGGCCCAGAAGAGGAGCGGAACCACCGGGCTCCCAGGGAAGGAAGAAGGTGGCCCGGGAAGGGATTCCCATCCGCCAGACTCGGGGCAGGAGCCCACCCTGGCCGAGCGCCGGCTCTCGGGGAGAAACCCACACACCAGGGGCTCCTGAAGCTCCAAAGGCTGCTGACGGCCCGGGAAACGATCAGAGAGGCAGCCACAGAGCTTCCGGGGTCCCCAGGCCTTCGGAGCCTGAGGCAGGGGCGGCCTCAGGGGCACCCTCCACAGCCTGCAGCCCCGTGCAGAGCAGACGGCCTTCCCCAGCCCCGGGGACCATCAGCTTCTCCTCAGGCCATCAGCAGAGCCAACCGGTCACAGCCACGGTGGCCCCCTTCCAGTACAGGTGAGTGGGGGACCCCCGGGCAAGCCCAGAGCGGGGAGCGCCCTTGACAGTGAGTGGCTGGTGGGGACCGGAGGACCGAGGGTATATATGGGAGAAGTCAGGCAGCGGAGGCTTACAGACGTGGGGCTTCGGAGAGCTGGCATGGGATTGGGGGACACAGACACGGAGCAGGGTCCAAGCTCTGGACTTTCTCAACCCTGGGGACTCCAGAGCCAACCGAGGCGCATAAGGAGGGCACCCCTAAAACGTCCGTTTCTCCTGCTCTCTGGGAAGTGATGAGGCCTTTTTCAGGGTGCTGTGGAGGCTGACGCAGCTAGATAGGTAGTAGGCAAGTCGGTCGGTAGGTAGGTGTGTGGGTAGGTTGGTCAGTAGGTAGGTCTTCTGCCCAGCTCACTGGGACCCTGCCACCACTGCCCTAGCCTGACTGCACTGTCGTGGGCACCGGCCCTCAGTCCATGGCGAGTGCAACCCTAACTCTTCCTTCTTGGCGTCACCGTGATGCCTGTGTCTGTCTGTCTGCCCGCCTGTTCCTGCCTCTCCCTCCGCTTGCCATGTTGCCTTATACATATCGGTTTCTGTGCCTGGCATGCTAAGGATAGTACGTAATGCTTCTTACATGCCATGTGGGGCTGCGGCCATCAGCTGTCCGTCAACCAGCGGGTCACTGCAGCTTCCTTTAGACGTGGCGAGTTGAATGCCTAGCAAAATAGATGCTTCAGTCAAGTAGGCTTTTCCAATAAAAACAGAACTCTTTACGTCATGACCACAGTAAGTAAACTAAATTTTAGTTACTAAATATTACACAGTCTAGAAATGCTCAAATGCAAATTAAGTCCCTTCCTGACGAAGTCGTTCCTAAGCTATTGGAAGAGAAACTCTCACATTTTAGGTGTAGAAAAGCTTGTCCATGGTTCCCTGGACACTGCAGCGTCACGGCTCTGGGGAGGGGTGGGAACCGCAGGGAGCTAGAACTTCTGCGGGAAGCAACCGCGTGACTGGGTCTCGGGAAAGTCGAAGGCACGCTCATACCGGAGTGATGGGCCCACACTGCATTCTGCATGCGTTCAGGCCTCGTTCAGAGTAGTCAGTTACGGACACCGCATTTTAAAAGGACATTGACGCACAGAAACACGTTCAAAGAAACTGATAGGTTGATGACAGATCCAAAAAAAAGGTGTCATAAGAATGACTAGCGCACCACTGAACCAGCGTGACAGGAAATGCTAAAGGGACTTTTTTAAGAAGAAAAATGTGAATAATAAAATGTCAATAACTACCTATCAACAATTACTTTAAATATAAGTGGATTAAATGCTCCAATCACAGCCATAGGGTGGCTGAATGGATAAGAAAACAAGAGCCTTGCATAAGCTGCCTGTAAGAGACTCACTTCAGGTCCAAAGACACACACAGACTGAAAGTAACGAGATGGAAAAGGTATTTCATGAACATGGAAACAAACAAACAAAAGCTGGTGTAGCAATACTTATACCGGACAAAATAGACTTTAAAACAAAGGCTATAACAAGAGAAAAAGAAGGACCCAATAATCCCACTTCTGAGTGTTTATCTAAAGAAACCCAAAACACTACTTCAAAAAGCTATACACACCCCTCTGTTCACTGCAGCCCTATTTACAGCAGCGAAGATATGGGAGCACCCTAAGTGCCCGTCGACAGATGACTGAGTACAGAAGTGGTACATTTATACAATGGAGTATTATGCGGCCATAAAAAAAGAATGCAATCTTACCATTTGCAACAACATGGATGGACCTGGAGGATATTACGCTGAGTGCAATTAGTCAGACTGAGAAAGACAAACACCATATGCTCTCACTTCTATGTGGAATCTAGAGAACAGAATAAATGAGCAAACAAAACAGAAACAGACTCACAGATACAGAGAACAAACCGATGGTCGCCAGATGGGAGGGGGTTTGGGAGCAGGGTGCAAAAGGTGCAGGGATCAGGAAGGACAAATTGTCAGTTATAAAAACAGCCATGGGGACGGAAAGCAAAGCATAGAGAATATAGTCATAATATTGTAATAACTACGTATAGTGCCAGGTGGGTACTAGTCGTTTTGGGGGCAAATCACTTCTTAAATTATATAAATGTCTAAGCACTATGCTGTACACCTGAAACTAATATAATATTGCATGTCAACTGGAGCTGAAAAATAAAAAAATTATTAAATAAAAAAAAAGAAAGAAAGATTAAAGGAACGGAGCCGTTTGCTTTGGAAAACGAAAGCTCAGCGAGGGCCTGAGAGCTGCTTTCAGATGTTTGAAGGGCCGTCGTGTTGTGGATGAGTTAGGCTTACGTGGTGCAGCTCCAAGGACCGGAGTCGGCATTTTGGTGGCCAGACATTAGCTTGAGACAGATCATCCGAAGGACCCGTGAGGCCGCGAGCTTCTCACTGCGAGAAGCCTGCCGACCCCAGGACCAGAGGACGTCTGACCCGGTGTCTCTGCCCCCCAGGCATGTCTCCTGACTGCCCAGTGTGCTCACTTGGTCCTGTTCCTAAGAAGCAGCCCTGTGTCCCCATGACCCGTGCAATGCAGATTCTCAAGGAATCGGAGACGCAGGGCAGACCAGACCATCCCTGCGCAACTTCTTCCCCTTAGCAGACGTCCCACGGGTGACTCCCACGGTCTCCTCCTGCCTGACGCCCTTCACTTGGAATTCAGTCTTTGGGAAAGGGTGTCCAGGCATTAAACTGAGATTTTATGTCCTCTACCCTGCAAGTCCCCTGCCATGTCTGGAAGCTGGCCTTTCCCAGAGAGGCCAGAACTTTTTCCTCTGAACATTTCAGTGCGGCCGACAGAGCCACTCAGCAGACAGTGAAACCTCAAAGGGGGTTCTCTTCACTGCACCCCACCCCCGACCCTGCCCCTTTCGGGCCCTGGGCTAGGGGTACACGTAGGGTCATGGTTTGGGCAAGGGAAGGTTAGGAACAAGGACACCCCAGGTGCTGCAGGCAGAGGGCGGGAGCCCAGCATTGCCTGGAGCTGCTGCCACGGGCAGCTCTGCCAACGGCCAGGCTGAGCCACCCTGCAAGTTCCAAGCCAAGGAGGTGCCATCTGCTCCCTCGAAGCTGCAGACATCCTGCTTTCGTGGAAACCTGCTCCCCACTCCAGCACCTGGGCCGAGTGTCAGCTGCTCCCTCCCGTCTCCAGCCTGGTCATCCTGACCTGACTCTCCAGGAATGACTGTCAGCCACCTTCTCCCGGCCCGTCTCCTGTCAAGGGTCTGGCACAGTCCTTCCCATAAACCTGGCCTCCTGCCTCTCCTCTGACCCAGCCACCGCCCCCTCTGGAGACCCTGCTCTTTGGACCCAGAAAGGCATAAATGCCCCTCGGTCGGGACCCATGAGATCTGCAGCCTCGTGCCCTCTGCTCTCCTGAAGAGCCCGCGGCGTCACCAGCGCTGGCACTGCCTTTCAAGGGTTTTCTCTACCTGACGGCCCTCCCTCACTTAAAGGACGGACTTCAGTGAGGAGGGTCCTGTCCGTGGAGTCAGGACTGAAGGGTTGGTCTTGTTTTGTCTGGTTCAACCTCCGGCCAACTTCCAGGACAGACACTACTTACTGTCCACTCAAGCTGGGCAGCGAGGGGCGGGACCGAGCCCACTGAAGCTGGGAGGTGCAGGCCGCTTTCCTCCCACGGGGCCAGTCCCCTCCCCGCCCCGTGTCATCACCGTGGCCGTGACACCCGCGGCCGCAGACCAGCCCTGTTCCTAATACTGGCCATTGCCCACGTGGCCTGCGTCAGGCTGTGCTGACTCTACACGTGTGCTGTCAGTCAGTGAGCCATTCAAACGTTATACAGAATTCTCTCCCCTGGGAGAAGGTCCTGTTATTAATACTGCCTCTCCAGTACTTCAAACGCCCGGATCTATTCCCATTTCTTCCAAGAAACCAACCCCAGACCGTCAAACCGACCTGGACCTCACAGAGGTCACGGTGTCCGCCCCACGATGGAAATGAGACCGAGGGGGAGAGAGATGTTCTTCATTGCACAGCGACTTGCTAGCAGGGCTGAGCCCAGGGCCCCCTGCCATCTGGGTGCTGAAGATGAAAAGCTGCAGAGAGGGATCTCAGGAGCACTGGGGACTCACAGGGTCCTCGCCCACAGCCCTCCCCAGGACCCCCGTCCGTCCCCCCTGCCTGCACAGCCCTCCCCTTCCGTCTCCCTCCTGCTCAGCTGCCAAAGGGCCCATTTAGCTGGAGACAGGGACAGAATGGGGCGGGCCAGCTCCCGGAGCCCAGGGTAATTGCCTGTAATGAAAGCTCCCGGCTTTGTTCCAGGGCGGGAGTGGCCCTGCTCAGAGGTCTGTGCGCTTGGGAGCTGGTGCCCAGGACCCCACCCTTCCTTCCTGCTGCCACCACTGGCCCAGCCTGGACTTATCCTCCCGGGAGTCGCGTGGCCCAAACGGGGCCTCCCCTCCCTCTTCCGATCTGCTTGCCGCCGGGGCTGTGACCAGGCCAGGAGGCCTGTGTCTGTGTGTCCCCTGAGCTCTCACAGGCGTCAGTGTCCTCAGCTCAGAGGGCATCTCCTTGCATGCGTGCACGTGGCTGTCTGTAATCTGCGCACAGTGATCAGGGCCTGAGATCCCGTGCCCTGAGGGCAACGCTCATTCATGGGCTTGGGGCAACTGGCCTCAGGCGTCCGTGCCCTCAGGGGCTACCGCACACGCCCCGCCCTAGCTTTGCTGGGAGGCCTGCTGCCTCCTGGCTGCACACAATCTGTACCCATCAGGGAGGCCCGGGCACATGGGTGCAGGCACTCCAAGAGGAGAGCCAAGCTCCACGGGGTTTCCTCAGCCCCTGGGAGGGGTTCCGAGGCCTCGAGTGACCAGCTTTCTCTGTCCCACAGGTTGCAGACGGACCAGGAGCCTGGCCCACTCCCCCAGGCCAGCTGGGCCATGGACGGCTACTCCGGCCCCCCTGACGGGACTGAGGACAGCTTCTCCTGCATGGGTAAGTGCTTCAGGGGACGGACTTGCTCCTGGGGAGGGGAGGCCAGTGCCCACCTGGGGGACCAGATCCACCTCCTCACTATGGGGCGTCAGCTGTGAATTGCACTTTGAGCTGTGGCCACGCTTGGCTCGACCCAGAGGTGGTCCTTCAGGCTCAGGATAGGAGAGTGGCCAGTGGGGGCCTAAGTGCTTCCCCAGCGCTTAGGGTGGGGGAACCGCCGAGGCCACGACAGGATGGGACAAGTTGGGAGAGTGACAGCCCAGAGGCAGGTTCCAAGCAAAGCCCAGGTTACTGATGGAGGTGTGGGGCCAGGCCCACAGGCCACAGTCGTGCAGCTAGCTGCCTGGCTCTGCTTCCTGTCCCAGGGCCACCTTTTACAGGCCACTCCCATGCGGGTCACCTTCCCTATGGCTTCTATGGAGTCATAACATAACATATCACGTGATGTGGGGAGTGCTATTAGCAGCCTCAGGAACTTACCCGAACTTACCCGGGAGACTTACCCGAAAAAGGTGACACTCTGTCAGGGCAAAGACACTGGGTGTCCCCAGGCCAGTCCCTGGCCTGTGGCAGATGCTCATTCCACGACTCTGAATGAATGAATGAGGAATGAATGTGTGTACCTACCGTAGGGCAGCTCCCAAGGGGGTCAGATTCTAAACCCTCAGCCGGGCGTGGGGCGGGTGCTGATTTTGTTGCGACATTGCAGGATTGTCTAGAGGGCAGCTGTGAACCACGCTGGAGGTCTGTGACACTCCACACTGCAGGGAGCATCTCTGCACTCCAGTTTCCCAGACCAAGGGACACTTGTTCTAGGAAAGGGATGGACTTGCTTTTGGCAAACCCAAGATGGTCACAGCCTCAGGTCAGCACCCTGCTCCAGTGGGCAAAGCGGGGCAGGGAACACAGCCTGACCCAGATGCCACTGGGCATGGCTGGTGTGCCATCTCGCCTTGTCCTCTGCTGGGCAGGCGGCCGTGTGTCCCTCGTGGCCTGGGAGCTGCGTCCTTTTGAGCCATCTTCGGGCCTGGTCTCCAGCTGTGACTTAGAGCCACTGTGACCTGGAAACAGCAGTCACAGTCACTCTTCCCTGGCAAGCAGCGGGGAGGGAGGCTACGGGGTGGGGACTGGGCATTAAAACAGTGAACCGCCGCCTCCCACAAGAAGGAGACACGCAGCGGAGCCGGGGCACGGTAGGGGACAAGAGGAAACCAAATTTCACTGGCACCGAAAGACCATCAGAATTAGAATGTGGTAACCAGGAAACTATGCCTCTATTTTTACACTTGCAGTTCTGTGAGGGTAATGGCTTCCTTATGTGGGTGCCACATGGCTCGAGCGAGCGATGCGTGCCACCTAACCGGGCTCGCGCCCGGAATTATCACCCAGGGAGTCAGGGAAAGGGCCCCTCATGTCTGCGGCAGACGGGCTCTAGGAACCCCCAGGCTTGTCAGCTGGAAGACCACCCCCAACAGCTAGATCTGGGAGCGTGGGTCATCAGTGTGAGGGGGGTGCAGGAACCTGGTGGGGAGCTGGCTTCCTCAAGGCCCCTGGGGACGGGGGCAGGTTCACAGTGCTGCTCTGGCCCTGGCCGGGCGTTGTGGTGACCATCAAGGCCAAGGATACCCCCAGCTCTCTGACGGGTGGGATGGGGGGATTTGGGGTGTGCCCATGCTTTGTAGGGCACCTGTACTCTTCGGAACTTGAAGAAGACAGATGAGAGGAAGAAGGGGGACAGTGAAGGCTTCCATTTAAGCCCAGTCTCCCCTGAACGTCACTCAGGGCATGACATTCTTCACTCATTCAGTCACTCAGTCACCAAACCGTCCCTGGGTGTGTCTGCCTTGTGCCAACACCGTGCTAGACACTGGGGTAAAAGACGATTAAGACTGACCTGCCCTCAAGGGGTTCAGTGTCGGGGTTCATCCCGCGAGCCTACCCTAGAGAGTCCATTGGCCTCCCAGAAAGCCACCCAGTGACTGCCCTTGTCCGAGCTGACAAGGGCGGCATGGAGGGGGCCCTGGCCTTACTCCCCCACTTTGTAGAAGGAGAATGGGGTGCCTTGAGTTCTGTGTCATAGACTCATATCGATATTGTTCACAGAGCCGCTCGGCTGTGTCACAGCTATTGATCATGTAATTTCCGTGTCAATCTGGGGGCGCAGGGGCAGGTCTGCTCCCTCCTGTAGCTCAGACCTCCCGCTCCTGGTCTGTGAGCTCATCTCGGCCTCTGCCCCGACCCGACCCTCCCCCAGCTGGCTGTGCCGCTCCCTCCTGCTAACAGCCCCCTTGGGTGCCGTCAGCGCACAGCAGTGCACAGGCCACCATCAGATCTTAATTTGGGAAGCTCGAGAAGCCAGGGTTGACGTGTTGGCGTGGCATGCCCACATGTGTGAGGACGTGTGCTGGAGGTTCGGGAAAGATGGCCGAGGTTGACAAGACCCTTAATGAAGGGACTTGCCTCATCATAACATGTGTCGCCGGGAACAGCCTCCTCCCCGCCATGCAGAGCGCGGGAGGCTGCGTGGAGCCTGGCCTCACACGCGGGTCGTTCGCTTTTCTCCTGCTTTCTTTTCCCTTGTCGAGCCGACTCCATCTTTTAGTCACAGTTCAGTTTGTCCTGTTTTGTGGATTTGGGACGGGCCTAGCGTCTCCATTCTGAGAAGCCTGGGATCTGGTGGTGTGCCTCCCGGGGGTGGGCGGCAGGGCTGGGCTTGTGGGGGGCTCCGCGAGCGTCAGGCCAAATCCCAGTATCCCCGCTGCAAACGGCTCGCGATCAAAGAACGCAGGAAGTCAACTCGCTAACAAAATGTACATGTCACCCAATATGGCCTCATTTGTCAGGGGGAGAGGTGAGGCTCCGGAGGGAACCATGACTTCCTCAAGGTGGCCTAGTTAGTTAGCAGACGACCCCTCCCTCTGACACCCCAAACGCTAAGTGACCAAATGGCATCAACGACCACCGCTTATAGAACGTGTGTGTGCAGGGCGCAAAGCCAGGCGTCACCCCAGGTCTTCCTTCAGCACCTCACACAGACCTTTGCAGGTGGCACTGTTGTTCTGTCACAGGTGAGGAACCTTGGCTCAGAGGGGTGACGTAAAGCAGCCTGTCTGAGGACACACAGCTAGAGCTGCATGAGGATTTGAACCCAGGCTGTCAAACAGTCACGTTCCTCTCATGTCACTGCTGCCGACCCTCCCCGTGTTAGCTGCGCGCTGCTTAAGCTCAGCTCGGGCCCCCTTACCCTCTGCCAAGTCAGGGGAGGAAATGGGTCCATGGGCCACCGTCCTGCTGACGTCTCCCTCAACCCGAGCAAGCCCCAGGCTGTCACGAGATTTTCTGACCTCCTAAACCTGTGTCATTTCATGCTGAGTTCACACCACCGCCTTCTCTGCCCCCAGAGGACCTCTGGCTAAGCTGAGCCTGATGTCCCAGCCATCCGCGGAGCGAGGATGAGCAGACAGTTCACTGGACAACACAGACCACATTCCAGGGCTGATGGCTTTGTGGGTTCATAGGACTCTGCCCCCATTGGCTGGCCCCTCAGAGCTTCAGGTGGTTACCCAGGGAGCTCTGGGGCAGCCGGAAATCCCAGCCACGCAAGGAGGAAGGAACCCGATCTATTTGCGAAACCACCACTGTCCCTCCCGTGACCAATGCACAAAAGCCCCTCCATCAAGTGTTGCCCTGAAGACCTGGCCTGGCAGGTCCTGGCCCCGCCCCTGGGCCAAGGGTGGCCGGTCCTGTGAGTAACTTGCAAAGCCCAGGGCGTGGGAGCTGGCAGGGGTTTCATTGCCTGGAGTGGCTTTTCCCGAGCCATGCCCATTTCAGGCGTGAGGCCCCCCCCTACCCCTGTGATGAGAGGATTAGGGTCCCCCACTGAGAGACTTCCCTCCGCCCACAATGAGGGCTGCACCGCCGGGCTTACACAGAAGGGGCCCTGGGGAGAGGCCATTGAAGAGAGTGAGGTGACAAGGACACAATGACCAGGAAGATTAAGTGCTGAGAATGACCCCCAGTCATAATACTCAGCCCTTCCTCGTCCGGCAAGGCGGAAGGAATCAAAACCTCCTTCCTGTGTGTGGCTCGCGGGCTGGGGGAGTCCGCTTCCGACGGAGCTGGAGATAATTAAAGGGTCAGGGCAGACGGAGGGTCCCAGAGTCTGGGGGAGGGGACGGGAGGGCAGAGAAAGGCTTGGTTGTCCCTTCCCTCAAGATCCTGCCACCTCCAGAGAGGGCTGGCGAAGGAAATGGGTGTACTCTGTGGTGAGGATTCGGGTCAGGCAGATCTGGGCAGGAGCGCTCGGCCCCCTGGCAGTGAGGGGAGGGCGGCCCTTACATCACGTGGAGTCTGGGGGCAGGAGCGTGACCCCGAGCTCACTGCGCCCTTCCTGCTGGGAACCTGGTTTCCATGGAGGCAGGAAGGGGCACAGAGGCCAATGGGATGGGGCTGTGTGACAGGGACGTCCTCACGGGTGTGCAGCTCCCACCCACCCCACCAGTGAGCGTTCTTAACATTTGCACAGCCGTTTTCATACGCCACGTAATTGCCAGTGATTATTCTATTAAAATTCATTGAGGTATGAACCCATGGCATACCCCTGTTAAGCTCAACGCCTCGTTTAAAATCCTGACGAGAACTCTAATAAAGCACCCAGGTGCCAGCCGAGTGCAGCCAGCAAATGTCTTTCCCTCCAGGGTGGCAGGAAGGCCAGGCTCTGCCTCCAGCTGGTGCAGGTGCAGGTGGGGACAGGCTGTGCTAACACGCGTGCCATTGTCCGCTCAGAACCGTGTGTCTCCACAGACACATGGGCGTGTCCACAACGCAAGACTCACATCTGATGGTTGGCTTGATGGACCTTCTGAATCTAGCCTGAACTGATGCAGAAACCCTGTGCTGCTGTGGTGACGTCATCGCAGGCCTGGCCGGGAGCCTCGGGCTGGGACCTTGTGTGTTTCTGCGTCAGGTTTTTGGGTTTCCTTGGCCCGTTGAGGTAGTAG